GCTCCAGTCACAGACCCCGAGATGGCCGAGTGCCACGCTGGCAAATGAAGGCTCCAAGCCACAGCTGCAGCGCAACCCACTCGTAGCTCCAGCCGTCGAGGACCTCGATCATGACACGTCGTTTGGGCGACAACTGGGCGAACTTATAATCATTTCTTGCTGGCCATATCTGCGCCGACAAATGCCCTCGAACTGCTGAAGATCCTCTGACAGTGACTCTCTGTTCTGGTGGTTAGGTAAAAGAAAACGCAACACACATATCTAAATGATCTGTTGAAAACAAAGAACAGTGGCTATAAAAAAAAGTCGCAGCAGCAGCAATAATAGCAGCAGTAGTAGTAATAGTAGCAGTAGCAGTAGCAGTAGCAGTAGCAGTAGCAATAGTAGTAGTGGTAGTGGTAGTGGTAGTGGTAGTAGTAGTAGTAGTAGTAGTAGTAGTCGTGGTGGTAGTAGTAGTAGTAGTAAGAAGAAGTAGTAGTAGTCGAAGTAGTAGTAGTAGTAGTAGTAGTAGTCGTCGTCGTCGTCGTCGTCGTCGTCGTCGCAGCAGCAGATGTTGTTGTTGAACCAGTGCCGGTTTATCTCAAGTCAGGGCGCGAGAATACACGACACCCCATGCTGGACGCTAAGTAGCGGAAACTCAGCGGCGAAATAACACACCGGGGCAACGGCGCAAAGCAATTCCCACGTAGACGCTGGAATTTAGGCAAGCAGTGGACACGGGTCAAACTTCCGGATTTGCTGCGGAAGCCAGCGCTTTTGCACGCTCGTGACTGTTATAGTTTTGTGTCAGAAGCTAAGCACCATGCAGTCGTTAGACTCTACTTCGATGTGAACCTAAACAGAACGCTCCTTCAGCCCTCTCGCAAGCTCAAGCGCATCCTTCCTCTCAAAGCTCATGCTTAAAACTCTAACACCCCCAACCCTGAAGCCTTTACACTCAGCTCTCAGCCACGACTCAGTCACAACCATCGAAGGTTTCGGTTTAGGGGTACACGGTACACCGTCTCAATACAAATCAGTATGCGAAACCCCAATGTGCACGTGCAGGTTGGTTCCGAACCCCAGCGTGCTGCTTGTAGTCTCCAGGTCGTGCGAGCTCGATTGCAAGCATACAGGTGAACATCGACGTCATAGCAACGCCGGTGGGCGAGCTTTCCCCCCAAGTCGCATCAACCCGTTGAAAGTCGCATCACCCACGGTGACCCTCGACGCGGTTAAGTCACATCATGCCACAGCAACCCCATCAATGATAATGAAATATACTCAGCTCTGTACACATTCAACACGGTTTTTCTCTCACTCGGTATTTCTCCGGGCAGCGCAGGGCTTGAACTGCGGGGGGGGTTGTTTGCAGTTGGGAGCAGGAGGAAGAAGAGGAGCATTAATCGAGGAGTGTGTGCCCGGCGACGATCAGGGTGACGGAGACCTCTTTGGCAATAGAAGAAATGGTTGAAGAGTTACCAAACATCTTCTCACACGTTTGCTCCTTGGATGTCGTACATGGCTAATCATGGCTGCTAGTGAAGGCTGAAGTGCTACTCATACTGGTGATAAAGGCTGTCAAACCCTCCAAGCACTGCCAACGTGCAAGAAGCGCGTCAGTGGAATTGCAAGCACCCACTCAAGACAGAAATCAGTGGCATCAGCAAGGCAAAACCAGCAAGTTTGCGTGTAGACGCTCGAGTTAGCAAGCACCCGCTCGAACCACACGTCTGTAGAAACACTGCATGTCAATACTAGCCATCAAAACCAAGCGTTGCCCATGTGAAATCATGTACACGATTGAATTTGCAACCACCCACTCCAGGCCCGCATACAACATCAGATATGTACTGCAAACTGCATTCCCTCTGATCGATATCACCGCCACGACGACATCGACGACAAGCCGCATGTAGGCCCAATGTACGCGCTGCAAAACTGCCCAAGAAACCAACTCCGCTAGAACATCAGATGCGCACTGCGAACTGCATTCCCCCAGTCTGGACGCTGATCGATGTCACCGCCGCGACAACATCGACGACAACAGAACAACAACCCCCATGTAAAAGCTGGAACCAACTCCGCTAGAACATCAGATGCAAACTGCGAACTGCATTCCCCCAGTGTTAACGCTCGTCGATGTTACCCAAACCAAGTCTATTACAACATAATATATGCACTGAGAACAGCATCCGCCAGTGTGGACGCCGATCGATGTCTGCGCGACAACGACAACATCCACGACAACTGAACAACAACCCGCATGTAGACTCTGCCAAAACGCCCAAGAAACCAACTCCGCTAGAACATCAGATTCAAACTGCGAATTGCACTCCCCCCGTGTGGAGGCCGATCGATGTCACCAAAACTATTTCTGCTACAACATCAGATAAACGCTGAGAGCTGTTTTCCCACATGTTGGTTGCAAACTGAGGGGTAAAAAACCACGACGCGGGATAAAGCGACCCCTAGCAGTAGTGGTAGTAGATTAGTAGAAGTAGTAGTCGTCGTCGTACGCCGCAGCAGCAGGAGGAGGAGGAGGAAGAGGAGCAGTAGTAATCCCTTCCCCCTAATATTAAAGCGCCCCCCCCTCCCTCCCTAATATTAAAACTCGGATCCTGGGATTTGGTTTTAATATTAGGGGGGTTTCGGGGTCACACACCACGACCGCTTCCCACACAGCTCCAAGCCCTGAACCCCCAGTTACTTTAGCCAAAACCTCTTCATTAGCCCTGCAGCCCTAGTGTAGACATCCAGCGCCGAATAACAACCTCCCCCCAAATATTAAAACTCCAAGCC